CATGGCGCGTCCTCAGGTTGCGGATGTTAGGTGGGTCCCTTGTCACCACGGCATGGCGCGTCCTCAGGTTGCGGATGTTAGGTGGGTTTCTTGTCACCACGGCATGGCGCGTCCTCAGGTTGCCGATGTTAGGTGGGTTTCTTGTCACCACGGCATGGCGCGTCCTCAGGTTGCGGATGTAGGAGACGCCCTCCAGGTATGGTGGGTAGCTGCCATTATATTGAAAAAGTAGACAAGGAGAGTCGAGAAGAGGTGATCCTCCAAATTGTGGGCTGTGCGTATGGTTTAGAGTTACTCGCCGTTAACAAATTTATTACGAAATGTTACTCAGGGCTTCAGGCTTAGACTGTCTTTTAACAACTAAACGAAGGAAAACGGACATGAGATTTGGCATATGGATTAATAATGTTTCGTGGAACGTATGGCCTCAATCTTCAGTGTAAGCTAAACAAGAAATCAGAATGTTGCAGGTGTAAATCCGCAGGAAACGCATTCTTCATGAGAACATAAAATCGAACGAGGTAAATATAAGCTAAACATAGAGCACGAGATTTCCCAGGTAATTTCTCACGATAACTTTACGAGACAGAATACTAAACGAAAAAAAGAGATCTACCAGACTGATAATACACTGAAATAATAAAATAAATTCAGATAACATTGGCAACGAAAGCGTAAATACAATTTAAGACAATATACTGTCAAAATTTGCATCCTTAGTTAATTCCAAAGGAAAGAGAGAGGTAGTAAAATCATGACGCAGATAGAGAAGCTGATTTTAAAACTTCTGAATATTGGAAATGTCTAGTAGCGCCGATACTTTGAGTTGTAAGAAGAAAACGTAACAGAATGTAGCTAGTCTCCCACATACGTCCCGAACTGCCGAGAAAAAATCCAAGTTATTGGAGTTATCTTACAGATCTCCAGTCTTCAAGGATGCGACGCCTTATAGGCACAGATAGTGTAGAAAAGCCTGAAGATAGAAGCAGAAGTTCAACCGAAACATTTGTAACGATACATCACATTAACCGTAGGAACCGCAGTGTTACCTTGAAATCCCCTATACATCATTTCAATTGGACAAGTATACTGAAATATTGAAAGCCGCAAGGCCTCGGGATGATCGCTTTCACTTCACGGGAGCAGGCCTACACACCTTTCCTTCCTACTTAGTGCTCCACGCACTGGGAAGGCCCGAACAGCTGGTTCCTGCTTTAGGTCCAGCTCCAAGTCCGCTTCTCCGAGTGACCAGATCCGGCCTTGACACGCTGACCACTCAGTTGTCTGCAGACAGTGGCCGCAAGCGGACGCAATGACTACAATGTCGTAAGTACTGACGCTTTATGTTTTTTTATTTTCAGGCCTGAAGAGCGTGTCAAGAATATTACCGATACCCAGAAAAAAATGTTTCAGGATAAGTATGAAAATCTTGATTCTGGAAACGTAACTTTAGTGCTTTCAGCAGATATCTGCCCATTGCTGAGTGAGTTGTATCCGAAGCCAAAATGCCGGCTCAGGCGATGGGAAATTCAACCGTCCTGTCCCTCAATTAAAAACATATATATTTTTTCAAAACTTCGTCAAAATAACATGAAATTTCCTGGACNAAGAGGAAAAAGCAACAGACCTACTTGCCTGTAAACGTAGCTCGTGTCGGGACCAGAGGGAAGGGGAAACACGTGACCTCTGGGTTACGCAAAGAACTTGATGGGAAAAGGGATCGGCTCCGCGTCGTATCGTACGTAGTTGCCAGAGAGAGAGAGACGGTAAATCCAAAGATCCTACACCGAAAGAACCGTGACACGGTTCAGTAACGAGTAACTCTGTCAAGATCTACAGATAGATTTTCTTTTCAATATTACAATATTGTATTTCTGAATCCCGTTGCGTTAATGTATCACCTATACACATTCACTTTCCTCTTAAATTCAAATCAACTTAAACTAATTCTTTACATAAAGATAAAAACTAATAATTAGGAATTGCAACATATTTCGGCAGTACTCGGCCATCTTCTGGCAACTGTCTGAGTTGTCAAATTGGTGGACTGTACTTTCAAGGTAATTAAGATCTTGATTTCTTTCATTCTGGTCCGTCACACTAAAATTACAAAGACAAAAATAACAACACAGCAAGCCACGAATAACACGGACAATACTAAGAATCTCTTTCTCAAAATAGACGGCACAAGATCAGCCACCTTCAAGAAAGACAACAGGAGAATTGACACGAACCTGCAATATTTATAAAAAGTTTAATAATAAACAACAAAGTTTTAAGAAATGTTAAATATTTTAATACCAGGAAGGCTGCTGTGACTGTCAAAAGTTGAACATTGTGCACACTGTGCATTTCAGACATTATACGCGTATGTATATAATTTAACACCTATTGTAATAGTAGTTTTAGGAAAAAGTATTGATGCCCTCTGAGAATGATCCGTAGGGATCGAAACATGTAAGGGTGATGAGTTCTCAAGTGATAAAACTTAAACAGTCACACTGGACGGTGTTATTTTTGTCTTTGTAATTAAGATTAATTATTTCTTAAGTTAAAATATTTCAACAAATAATTAATCTTAATTTAATTGTATATACAGTGCAGGAATTTGATAAATTGCCTGAAGATGGCCGAATACGGCCGAAACATGCAGCAATTCATAATTATTAATTTTTAATTTTGTGTAAAAGCGTAATTGTAAATAAATTTACATTAAAACGGAAGTGAATGTGCATAAGTACTTTATCATGTATGCTATGTATATGAGATAGTCAAAAAGGGAAGAGAGAAGATGGTTTGTACAGTGTTCCACCATGAAAATCCTGCCGGTCCTGCTTTATCAAGCTCTAAAAATGATGGTATCTTAGAATGACAAAACTCTTACTGAAATTGCTACGAAAGTGGGCAGGTGAGGGTCGAGGAAGAAGCTCCCACATGGCATTTCGATCCGACACCAAGCACTGTCTCAAGCAAACTGACTGATAAGTGGACAAATGTGACATTACAAGCAGACAAGTTTCGTCCATACGTACCTATCATAAAGAAGTCTAAATCTGAAATTCGATTATAATTTTTCTCTCATGTGCCTTATCTTCGCCATTTTATGACTAGCAGTCGATCTGTGGTTCAGGAAACTCCAGGTTCAATTCTAGGTCTTGAGACTTTCGTTTATGTCCGAAGTGTCTCATAGTCTCCCCGGAGTCCCTTCAGGCAAACGGTGATGTAGCATCTTTAAAGAGTCGTTGCGAATATAAAAGATTCGAGGTTTTCATGGCCGTGTAATCTGGTAATTGTCTCTACATCCGAGCTTGTGGCCAGTTATGCCGTCAGAGATTGTCAAATTATTCTTTGAATGTTCCAACAACACGACATTTTGTAACCTATCTAGGTGATAAAGCGCGTTTAAGAAGCAAAGCTTCCAGTAGATGGCGGACGTTAAATAGTGGTGGATATAAGTTACATTGCGAAAACAAATATGTTTTTTCAGTGATTTTTTTTAAATAAGGCTATTTACTTAGCAATGCCTGTCTGTATGCCCATAAGTCAATCAGTTTGCAGGTAATAACTCGAAAAAAATTTAACAGATTTCCGTGAATTTTCATGTCGCAGAGTTCCACTGCACTTTATGCACACACTCAAGTTTTGGCTAAAATAGGACTAATATAAAGAACACTTTAATGGAAATTTTCATTGGTTTCTGCTCGCGCATTATGCAAAACCTATAAATACTTACTGACGCAGAAAAAATTCAAAATAAATATTGTACAAAAAATTGGACACAAATTTTATGTGCAATTCACTTCAGTACGTTTTAAGTTTTTCGAAATATTTCCATAAAATTGAGCTGACGTACGAGAATAATTATGCTTCTTTGCTTGTTAAGAAATGCTTCAACTCAAGTCCGTTTTAATAATTCAAGTATTAGCAGATGTAGCAGATGTACCAATCTCCTATTTCGTCTAACTAAACATCTTGAAAACATATCGCTCAGCACTGCTGTTAGTGCTAATGCCTGCACCACTGCTTAGATGTCACGCCTTACGGCTGTGTCAGAGAAGTTGCCGCAAAGGCCCGGCGAAAGGGCGGGGCCGTAAAACGAAGCCCCACCGTTTCGCCGCACAGAATTCCGTTCTGACGGTAGTTGGTTAGTATTTACTTTATGGCCCTCAGCTAACCTACATACTCTTCTGCTCTACGGCCTAGTGCAAATTTGCCTTCAGCTCTCGTATATCATTCTCCACATGTTCTGCCATCAAAATCTTACTTACTTACTTACTTACTTACTTACTCATGGAGCTGAGCTCTTCTGGAGGAACCGCCAATTCTGCAGCTACTCAAGAATTTCCCAGCATTTTATGGAACCCGAAGGTTCATTACCGTGTTCACAAGAGCTCTCCACTGGTCCCTATCCTGAACCAGACCAATCCAATCAATACAATCGCATCCTATCTAAGTACATTTTAATATTGTCCACCAAACCTATGCCTTGGTCTTCCCAGTGGTCTCTTTCCTTCTGGATTTCCCACCAATATCCTATACGCATTCCTCGTCTCCCCCATTCGTGCTACATGACCTGCCCACCTCATCCTCCTTGAATCAAAATCTGGGCCATGGTTTACATTCAAAACGTTTATTAACCATTATTGATTAAGCTATTATAGTTACATACCGCGACGACTTCCGACTTCTCCTTTTAATATCAGCTACCAAATCAGGTGCTTTCTGTAATTCTGCCAATTGTTGCTTAGTTCTGATTCTCCTGAACCCTTGCTCAGTTACTGAGCTGTAAACTTTCCTCAATGTGTCTCTCTCCCTCGTACTCAATATAACTTTATCCTTTTCAGTATTCCATTCTTAAATCAGAGCTCATTTCAAAACTGTCTTATGTAAGAGCGAATGCACAAAATACGGGTAGCAGATGAGAAGACGAGTTGTGTTGTCGACTCCACCACATCCTGATACTCTCGGGAGCCATACACTGATCTGACATCATCCTAACGCCAGCTTTACGTACCCCTCTGTCTCAGCCTTGCGGGGTGTTACCCAGTTCACACGCTTCACATTCTGGAGACACTGCGTTCAATCCCCGAGCTCACTTACCCCGATAAATCTTTATATTTCTATTTTAGAATTGTTTGTTGATTCATCGATTATTTAATAACGAATTTTAGTTTTGCTAGGTAACAAAAAATCGACTGAGAAGATATACAGTGTAAAACATATGATGCTGCCGTGTTGCCGTAAGCTCACCACAACTTTACTCAACAGACAGAGTTCAGTAACCGAGAATTTGTGACTTTCGGACCGTCATAAATCGAAGACGGTTTAATACGATTGAGAAGACTTTGTGCTCTTCATCCAACATCATTATGGAGATTAAATCAAGGAGGATTGAGTGGCTAGAATTGTGGCACGTGTAGGAAGATGATAACTGCATGAAAAAATGTAGTTGGAAAACCTGAATAAAAGAGTCCACTTGGAAGAGGCCTAGGCGTGGGTTGGAGAATAATGATAAATAATAGTTTTACAGTGCAAAATGCTGAGATGTATTTACCTGAATTATGAGACAGACAGCGGTGGGTTCATGTGGGCAAGGTAACGCATCTTTAGGTTAGACAAAGGGTGGGGTTAGTAGAGCAGCTGAAAGATTATATGTCCTGTAAAATTTTGAAACCAGAAATTTATGTAAATCTTATAAAAAATCCAATTCCAACCTCACATAAACATGTTATCTCTCCATTACATAAACCAATAGATTTATTTTGTAAGACTTGATGTTATCACGGCGGTGAGTATGAAGAATGCCATCTTCTGGAATGTAGCGCTGTGTATACCTGTGTGAATCGACATTTCGGAGGAAATGGAGGTGATACGCTTCTCCGAAACGTCGGTTCACACAAGGTATACACGTCGTCACATCTCAGAAGACGGAATTTTTCAGTTTCATTATGTTTATGGAAATAATATGCATCTATTCAGGGGATTATATGGAAAAAATGCACATTGCTTCTCTGACAATTGGCAGAGTTCTTGAATGCTAAAGCACGTGGTACATGTTGTAACCACTATGCTATGAAGGGAGGTTCCAGCTCCTGGTAGTTAATCAGACTAGAGTCAGATCCAGGACATGTCAAGGCCGACAGGTACGTAATGGGCGGCTCACCTTGTGTCCCTATCACCGATCAGATCTACTGAATGAAATAGGAATTGGTTTCCGTCCGTGTAGCATTTCAGCTGCTTATCCAGAATGCCACGGCAAGACTTTCACTTCCCAGATAGATAATGCAATAATTAAATCCACCTCCACAACAATTTCCTGTTGCGGG